GAAGCTCTTGCCGCAGGCGCCGCACGCGTAGGGCTTGAGCCCCGAGTGCGTCCGCTCGTGGGTCCTCAGGTGGGTCGAGCGCACGAAGCTCTTCCCGCACTCGGAGCAGGGGAAGGGACGGGCCTTGGGCTGCGCCGGCGGCTTCGCGCAAGGGTTCTCCCCGCTCTTGGTGGCTCCTGGATCCAGCTCCGGTGGTGGCTTCACCCAAGGGTTATCCTTGGTCCTCATGGCCTCGGGATCCAGCTGCGTTGGTGGCTCCATGCTCCTCATGGTCTTGGGATCCAGCTCTGTTGGTGGTTCCATGCTCCTCATGGCCTTGGGATCCAGCTCCATCACTGGTGGCTTCACCCAAGGGTTATCCTTGGTCCTCATGGCCTCGGGATCCAGCTGCGTTGGTGGCTCCATGCTCCTCATGGTCTTGGGATCCAGCTCTGTTGGTGGTTCCATGCTCCTCATGGCCTTGGGATCCAGCTCCATCACTGGTGGCTTCACCCAAGGGTTCTCCATGCTCCTCATGGCCCCTGGATCCAGGTCCATTGGTGGCTTCACCCAAGGGTTCTCCTTGGTCATCATGGCCCCTGGATCCAGGTCCATTGGTGGCTTCACCCAAGGGTTCTCCATGCTCCTCATGGCCCCTGGATCCAGCTCCATCACTGGTGGCTTCACCCAAGGGTTCTCCGTGCTCCTCATGGCCTCTGGCTCCATCTCTGCCACTGGTCCGGGTGGATCTCGGGTGTGGGGCTGTGGGAAGGTGGTGGGAGCCCGTTGGAGCCGTCGCTGGTGGGGTCGTCGCTGGTTGGAGGTCCCAGCCCTGGGGACACCTCGGAGGGCGCTGGATGGACGTGGAGGGTTTTGATGTTCCAAAGTGGATCCTTCTGGGTCTCTTCTTGCCGTGGTGGGACCTGCTGGGGGGGAAGGAGAAGATGCTTCACGATGGGGCTCAGTGGAGGACACCAACCTTCTCCCAGGCACCCAGAGACGATGCAGCTCCCACCGTTGAGTGAACCCCCAGATCCCGTCATGGATGATGAGTCCAAGGAGACCTTTCATCTTGCACCAAACCCACGGCGGGAG